TCGCGCAAACGATACAGCCCGCATAGCGTCAGCGTCCGGGTCGGCAGCAGATAGACGCCATGGACTTGCCGAGCTCGCTCACGATGAAGACATCCAGTACATTGTCGGCGACTGGATGTCAGAGTACAACATGACCTCAAGAGGCGTCGCGAAAGCGACTGATCCAACAAACTCGTCTGAATTTGAGCCTTCATTTCTCGAGGCGATTGAGCCTGCGCTACAATACCTAGATGCTAGGCGGATCAAGCTCGCAGTCAACGCCGGCGCCAGTGATACGAAGAAGCTGCATGATATACTAGTTCATATGATTAAGGAGAAACGCTTAAACCTTAAGGTCGCCTGGATTGAGGGCGACGAGGTGATTGATGTTGTTAAAAAGGGGCTGAAGTCTGGAGAAGGATTTAAGAATCTGACGACAGGTACTTCACAACCCGACCAATCCCGTAGCTTGCTTGATGCTGACAAGTCTACCTAGGCGAAAATATCAAGGATTGGCCTTACGAACCTATCTACGCTCAGGCGTACCTAGGCTGCTGGGGTATTGTTGAAGCCTTCAAGCAAGGGGCCCATATCGTCTTGTGCGGCCGCGTAGCTGATGCTTCGCCAACCATTGCCTGCGCAGCATATCATCACGGTTGGAAGCGCGATGACTACTCGCAGCTTGCACACGCACTTGTCGCAGGCCACTTCATCGAATGCACGACTTACGTGACGGGCGGGAACTTCTCTGGGTTCAAAAGCTTGCCAGGCTTATCTGTCGAAATTGGGTTTCCAATTGCTAGAGTCGAAGAAACTGGCGAGTTCACCGTCTACAAGCAAGCTCGAACAGGAGGTATGGTGACTCTGGAGACGTGCAAAGCTCAGCTCCTCTACGAGATCCAAGGTCCATATTACTACAATTCCGATGTTGCGGCTATCTTGGATAACATCAAGATGACGCAGGTAGGAGAGAATCAAGTGTATGTCTCCATCGCGTTTCCCAGGCATCAAAATTCCCACTGACATCGCTGCAGTCGAGTCTTCAACGTTGGTAATATGAAGCCTCCTCCGACTACAAAGGTTGGAATCACAGCGAAAGGCGGATATCAAGCCGAGGCGCATTATTTTCTCTGCGGCCTCGACATCAAAGAGAAGGCGGCGTTGTTTGAGCGTCAACTCCGTCACGTTCTTAACGAAAAGTCCTTCTCGTGTCTCAACTTTAGCACCAACGGCTCTTGTTCAGAGAACCCCGCAAACCAGGACGCAGCAACTGTCGACCTCCGCATCTTTGCGCAAGCGCGCGACCAAGCAGCTTTGTCACCCTTGAAGTTCCTCAAACCAATTGTGGATAACATCATGCAAAGCTATCCCGGTGCAACATTCCACCTAGACACGCGACAAGCAATCCCAAAGGAGTACCATGAGTACTGGGTTAGCATTCTCCCGCAGAGCGCAGTAAAGCATGTGTGCCATTTACCGTGGAAGAATCAAAAGGTTGACATTGAACCCCCGCGGGACACGGTGGACTTCTTGTACGACCAGCCGACGTACGAGACTAAAAGTCCGATCAATGTCGCGACCTTGGGGCCAACGACAAGAGCGCCGCTTGGGTACGTCGTACATGCGCGGTCGGGTGACAAGGGATCCGACAGCAACGTTGGATTCTTTGTGCGGAATGCCGACGAGTGGGATTGGTTAAGGTCGGTGTTGACGGTCGGGAAGATTCGTGATTTGCTGGGAGAGGATGACAAGGGGAAGCCGGTTTTCCGGTTCGAGCTTCCACATCTCCATGGTGAGTCCTTCTGTCCTATGTGAGGGTCGCTTGTGTCGTGTTGAACTGACATGGCAATAGCTGTGCACTTTCTCTTGAAGGATCACCTCGATCGGGGGGTCTCTGCTAGCTCGTCTTACGATTTCTTGAGCAAAAACTTGGCAGAATATCTACGATGCAAGCATGTCGACATCCCGGACAGGTTCTTGGCTCGCGGCAGGATCTGAGGGGGGAAATGAAGGTATTCTCGCGAGGCAAAGACGCCGGAAAAGGGACACACGGGTACTTTGTGATCCAAAATAGGTTACACCGAGGATCTACGGCGTCGGCGGTGACATTGCGGGCTAATTTTTGACCGTAGTATGACAAGCCTTACGGTGATGTGGCTGTGTGGCGACTCGGTACACCCCAAAACGAAGAGTTGTGGTAAAGCGAATGATGTAAGGGGAGAAAAGGGCTCAGGTTGTTCATTCTTTTGTGGCTTCTACCCCGCCAAAAGCCTGACGAGACGGCATTTGTTGCCGCGTATCCTCTTCGCCGTTTGATGGCTGGGGTCGAGTTAGCTTGCAAAAGGTGCTTCTTGTCTCAGACATATTCCCCAATAAGCTGAACCCAGCCCTTTAGATCAAACGGGACTTTGGATGTCCTTTCTGAGAGTCAGAGCTTCTTGCGCAGGGACACAAGGTTGATCATCAGAGTCGGGTTCCTTGGGATGATGGTTGGTTTAGATAACGAAGGTCGGCGGCGCAACACTGTTTTCCCTGTCGTGGCAAAGCCGACGTACGCCCCATCGTAACAAAGTTGCCATGATACCGGTTTTACCTTGATCCGTTTGCTCACCAACTCTTAGTGCTATTGACATTCTGAACAGTGAGCTTACATAGTAGGTTGAAAGCCCACGTGGCACAGTCTGACGGCCGACACAGCTCGCCAGGATCCCAAGCCCTAGCATTCGGAAACGGTTTGGGGTGACGCGATGATGATAGAGTGGCGGGCCAGAAAAAACAGGGCTGAGGCCCAAGGGCACAGTCTCTCTTATGATTGCCAAACAAATCACCGTCCGGGATTCGCAACCGGATGCGTGGTCCACCATGCCGGAATAGGCAGTTCTCGATGCCGGTCAGTCATCCTTGGGGGCTTTGGGGGCGGAATTCCCAACCCAACCCAACCGCCGGACCACTCACTCCATGAATCCACGTCTCCGGAGCGGCTGCTCCACTTCGCGCCGGGAGCTCGGGGGGTCTAAAAGTTGTCCCACTGATCTTCTTTGCTTCTCGGGATGCTGCGGCCTGTAAGCCTGCAAAGCCACTACTGCCACCAAGGTGCTTTGACAGGACCCCTCCCTCCCTTGCTGTGCCACTGTTCCTGGAGTGAGTGAGTGACAGCTTATCGGAGACTACTTGGCAAGCTTGGGCAGACATGGCGGTGTCTGTCAGGTATCACATTAGGATCAGCCCCTGGTGAGACGCCACGGCCGTGAGTCTCCGAAACGTCATATGTGGGTTTGCTTTACTTACTTTAGGCATGGGATTCCCGCTTTCCGGTCAGATTCATGATCCTTTCCATAGCCATATCTACATGTGCCAAGGTTCGTGAGAAAGCAAGCTCACCTTTCTCCGACTGCCATCTCACAACAGTTCGAATTGAACAACTACCCGCATCTTATTTCGCCAACTTGTCTTTCATGCTTCGAAGTAATCTGCTACAGCACGGTTCACCTCAATTTTCAATCACCAAACGCCAACATCATGACGAAACTCAGCGACGCGATCAAGGATGACCATCGGAAAATCGAGCAGGCATATCGATATATCCTCACATCGACGACTCTGGAAGACAAAATCCGATGGAGAAATGAGCTCAGTCTCGAACTCGCAAGACACTGCATCAGCGAGGAACAAGTCCTTCTTCCCATCCTGACAGATCGATTGGCCGATGGCGAGTCTCGTAGCGCCAGGAATCACACGGATCGCGAGACCGTGAGTTTATCATTGACATCCCATGTATAATCCCAGCGGCAAAGCTGACCGGCTATTGCAGTTGAAGGAAAAAATTTGCCGCCTCCAAGCGATTCCAGTCGACGATGATGATTTTGAAACCGAGTTGAAGGCTCTCTGGGTCGACCTGGCTGCCCACGTTCGCGATACGGATAATCAAGACGTGGCCCGACTAGAAGAGTGCCTCACCATGACTGAGTCTGAGGAGTTAGCCAGGCAATTTCGGCTCACGATGTCCATGGCGCCAACACGGAGCAACCCCTCACCTGAACGTGGTCCGCCGTCCCAGCAGATCACGGACTTCCTCGCCACCAAAACTGGGCCTTGAATGCGCATGACTCGATTTTGCGGGGCTGGTAAGGAGGGAATTCTGGGGAAGCATGGATGAGACGTCCGATGATATACGACTTTATGACGAAGGAAAGCCCTGGTGTTTGCAGTAGATATGAATCATTACGGGGGTTTTTAAGTATGGTGATCGTAACAAGATAACGGCCTAAATGTCAATACTCTCCGTCCATGTTCTATCTAATCTCTCATATCATAAGATACACGATGAGCCTAGAGCCGACGGGACCGGAGCCGACAGGAGGACCTCCGGGTGGGGCCGGTCGGTGTCCACCAGGGCGAGTTTACCCCGATATGTTTTTGTCACTTTCACGTCATAAGACCAAGACTTGTCGCACACCAGGGTCACATCCATCTCTCTTTTCACTCTGGTTCGCGGCTTGTCTTTCCTCATCTAACCCTGTTGCGCAAGTACTCTTACCTCGCGATTTCAATGGAGTTAGGGTGACTGCGGCATCAGCAGCCCCCGGAGTCAACTCCGTTCAAGACCAAACCTGGCAATAAATGACATATGCCACAACATCCCTCGTCCATGGTTGGCCAAGAATCATGGTTTGGTAACGCCCGAATTTTCTATTGCGCCCGTAACCCGAAGCCTCCGGAAACTTGATTCAGGTCAAAGTCGCTGACAGTGAACATATACAAGTTCATCACACCATGAGTGTTGCACTCCACTTTATCACTACAATATGGATGAGCCTGAGTCAAAGATACGCCATCTGGCAGGCTGATTGGCAAACCTGTTCATCCAGCCAAGAAACTTACATCAGGATCCCTTCATATGCAGTCTTGAGGGGCGAGGTTCCCATTCCCCGCAAGACGTTCGGTGGCCAGCAAGATAAGCGGGCACCTAGTGCCCTTGGCCTCAGAAGTTGTTGGATTCCGTCATGTTACTTAAGCCCCCCCCCCTCCCTCCCTCTCCATGATACACCCATGAAAGCCTCTGGATCTCTCATTTACGAATCCTTGAAGCCGCAAAATTTCATCTCATCGGTAAACAGACAAGATGTCGTACAACGATCACGATCTCCGGGACAAACACCAAGTCCGCCGCCGGCACCACTCACCAACGTACTCCGACTTGAGCGTCGGAAGCCCAGAATATAGCCCGACAAGGGACGCCGGCGCAGTTCGTGTCGCACACAAACACTACGAGTCTCCCGACCGCAGAGACCGCGTCGCAGTCTACGAAGAAGACAGATACAGACCAAGAAGTAGGGAGTACTACTACGAAGAAAGGCGTCCGCGATCGCGACCAAGATCCGAGGTGTACGACTACGACCGCGACCACAGTCATCACAGCCACAGACATGGGCACCATCGCCACCATAGCCACACACACAGTAGAAACAAACGGAGGCATTCCACCTCTGGGCCCAATTGGGGCCAGGCCGCCGTTGCGGCTGCTAGTGCCGGTATCATCGAGGCTGGGCTGGCGCGGCATGACAGGGACCGGACTGCGAGAGTCATGACGGCGGCGGCGGGAGCCGGGGCGATTGATGCCGTCGCTGGGAAGCATGGAGAGAAGCCGTCTAGAACGTGGGAGAATGTTGTTGGTAGCACAGTAGGCGGGTTGGTTGTTGATCGTATGGCTCATGGATCGGGACGCCGGCGTTGAGTGCACGGCGAGGGATGCCGGAGTAGCGCTTGTGTTGAGTAATGCAGTTCCTTTGGGAACCTCATTCGTAATATTGAAGATGCGTAACACCTGTTCAAACTTTTCCCAGATCGTATCAAGTTAAGAATTTGTTCTACGATGAGTGTTCTTTACCCTAGTCTTCGGAAACAGTCCCGAGTTCCCAGCTCACGATCCCCAGAATCAGCAAGTAGGAACCATCCTATCCATATTGGTGAGACCAACAAGGAGGTCCTCCCATTTGATTCCTGCCGGTGGGTGTTGGTTTCATTGGCTAGAACACCACTTACTTGAGACTAAGGGCGGCTCGATACAACACCATCGCCAAGCGATTCGCGGAGGATAAATGAGCTTAATCTAAATGCCGGATGAACTGGCCCCGCTAAGCTAGCATTGGTACCTTTATTCCATTGTCAGTCTCACTTAGCGATGCAATCCGTTCTTGCCACCACCTCATGACCTTCCGCTCGTGGGATGCCGGAAGGGGTTGCCCCGTGCTCGGCGGCCTAGAACGTTGTCGCGGTCGTGTGGTTCGCAAAGTCCATTATGGACCATGTTTATGGCAGATTCGACATAAAATGACCGGTGACCTCCCGTACTCATGGATTGCAACAGATTCATTGACTTACTTGATGCTTGAGTGAAGTGGACGAAATAACAAACTCACAACATGAAGCTCCTCAGTCTCCTCGCTGCCGCCAGCCTCTGCCAGGCCCACACCATCTTCGTCTCGCTCGAGGCCGATGGCGTCAACAGCGGCGTCTCTCAAGGCGTCCGTACCCCGGAGTACGACGGCCCTCAGACCGACGTCACGTCTCAGTACATCGCCTGCAACGGTGACCCGAACCCGACGAAGTCAACCGATAAAGTCATCACCGTGACAGCCGGGTCTACAGTGACTGCTGTCTGGCGTCACACCCTCACCAGCGGACCCGAGGACGTCATGGACGCCAGCCACAAGGGACCAACTCTCGCCTACATGAAGAAGGTCACCGACGCCAAGACTGATGCCGGTACTGGCGCGGGATGGTTCAAGATCCAAGAGGATGGTCTGAGCAGCGGTGTCTGGGGAACGGAGCGCGTCATTGGTAATGCTGGAAAGCAGGCTATCACTATTCCCAAGTGCATTGCCAATGGACAGTACCTTCTCAGAGCTGAGATGATTGCCTTGCACGGCGCCAGTTCCTACCCGGGTGCACAGCTGTATATGGAGTGTGCTCAGATCAATGTCGTCGGCGGGACTGCGGCCAAGAGCCCTTCGACTGTCAGCTTCCCTGGTGCTTACAAGGTACTTTGCTTAATCATTGCCATCAAGTCACATAATATGCACTGGTTACTGACTATCGTTTCAGGGATCCGATCCCGGCATCACAATCAACATCTACTACCCTGTGGTCACGAACTACACAATTCCAGGACCCGCCAAGTTCGCTTGCTAAGTCTCAACATGTGGTTTCAGCGGTTGTGACGCATCAGTGCCATCAGTGATACGGATGAGATCTTTTTTGGTTGGAGATGAAGATTACCTTCATGTACATATTACTTGAGGAATCAAACTTGTACAAACTTTGGAACGTCGATGTCTCTCTCAGATCTCCCGTTACTTGAGTTGCTGTTCTATCGTAATTGTGTAATTCGCGCTAAAGCCTTCCGTTTATCGAACTTCGTGATGGAGAGCTTGCAGTCGAACTAAGAATTTCCCCTCCCCGAACACCTCCCCTAACACCACGCATAATGCTCATTGTTGATCAAAATCGGAGCGTCCTCTGACCCCAGACCCTCGCCATCCTCGAACGACAATAGACTAGCAATGCTATGACTCTGTCTCTCAATGTAAACAGCATCCAGACCACTTCGGTCCAAAAGGCACTTTACCATGGGAGACGGATCCCATAGTTGCACCTGATCTAGCCTCCAATCTGCCGCCTCCGCTTGGGCAGCCTGCAACACAGCCTTCAACGCAGCAGCTTGCTCTGCATAATCTTCCATCGGCATCGTGATGTTTCCTTCGCGTGGTTTGTTCGCAGTCTCGTCGCCTTCTACTACAAGGCGGAGAATGTAAAGGACACTCTTATCATCTGCATCCTCAGTGCTATGATGATTTGGGTGTCTGTAGTAGCGAAGAACCCAGGTAGCCCAGACCTGTTTCCCAGCCGCTCCAGCGATTGCTCCGTTTATCACTGCCTTCTTACCAAAGATTTGTTTGGTGGCAAAGTCTTCTTTGTGAACGTGCCATAACATGTGATCTAAGTCTGGTAAAATGACCACTCGTTTTCGTGACGCACTGGGTGTGGCCATGTCATTCCGCATCACGGCCTGGTCTCTGAGACATAGACTCTCTAATTCCGACTCGAAGATCGGGCGCGAACCTGCCGGTATCTCCATCCTCGCAGGCGGCAACACCAGATGCCCGCTGACGGGGTTCGGTGTCCAACCTAATCTGGTATAATACTCCTTTCCTACATCCGAGTATAAGACGCTTCCAACGACCATTCCGTCCTCTGGTTGCCAATCGCGCAGGACCGTCGCTAGCTCTTTCATATGACGAGCTGCGTAGCCGCGGCCGCGAAAATTTCCTGGACAGAAGACGCTGACAATCCCATGGACGATACCCTCCGTCGTGTTTCCCATGCTATTATCGCTCACGAGACATCGCTTGCGGAAGGTTTCACACGAGCACAGGATATCCCGCTGATTTGGCAGTCGATTTTTGTCAACGAGAACCCAAGTAGTCATGCCTCCGTCTTGAGCCAGTGGGACTGTCATGAGGTAACCGGACTCGAGAATGTACAAGGGCGTGGTCAAAGAATCTATTCACGCGTCCGCCGTGGTTGCCCATATCTGGAGGCATTCTTCGGGTGTAGGATGGTCGAGATGAAGATTTAATGACGAGGAAGGGCTGCCGACTTTTGCCTTTGCGTGCGTACTTGTTAAGGAAGCCATTTTTTGTCTCAAGAAATGATGCGGCCGATTGACGTTCAATTTGAGCTGATTTGATGTCGTCGGAGCCCTGAAGTCATTCCAAAAGTTTAAACCGGAGTTCCCCTTATGAGACAGCGGCTAAAGCCCTGAATAATCTTATGGCCCACCTGCATATTACGGCGATTTCATACTTCATTGAGCGGGGTACCGCTGAAGTTGCTGTTGATACCCCGGTAGCTGCTCACTGCGCGGCATCCAACCAGCACTCGTGATCAAGACGATTCGTGCTTTCATTCGGGGGTGATGAAGAGTTTGCTGGCATGTCGCTTGACGTTGACAAGATACTCGCAGGTTTGAAATGGTTGGAATTTACCAGTGTATTTACAGGTACTGACTTCTAAACTGAATCTACGAGATGAATCGAATTGAGCTTTCTACACATAAACTCCCCGCGCTCAGTGGCGGTGGGGAGCTCTTCCAAGACGCATGGGTCTGCTGCGAGCGTGCCTTCTGGCATGCGCAGCAGCCGGAGCCGCGGTGGAGTTGGAGACAGGGCACGAGGTGTACATGACACCGCGGCCGTTGGTGCCAACGTAAACGACGTTGGCCTCGTTGGCGGAACCAACAAGAGCAGCGCCGTCGAGGGCGCCAAAGCTGTGGGTGCCCTGGAGGTCGACCCACGAAGCACCGAGATCGGCGCTGGCATAGAGCTTCTTGCCGTCGGCGGCCTCGCCAAAGACGTACAGGTTCCAGGCACTGCCTTCACCCTTACCGACGGAGACGGCGTGGGCGTTGGAGGGGCCGGAGATGGAGGAGAAGGTCTTGCCAAAGTCGGTGCTATGGAAGACACCCGCGTCGGTGGAGACGAAGAGCTCGCCGGCTGTGGCGGGGTGGGCGGCGATGAAGCGGATCTCGGTGACGTTGCCGAGGGGCGCCTCGGTGAAGGTGGCTGCGCCGTCCGTGGAGACGTAGAAGGTCGACTTGGAGCCGGCGTAGAAGACGTCGTTCTTCTTCTTGTCGCTGGCGATGATGCTGCTCGCGGGGAGAGTGCTGTTCTCGGGCTTGCCTGCGTTGCGGATAACCTGGACACCCTCGCTCTTGGAGGACCAGAGAATGACATCGCCGTCGGCGGAGTAGGCGACGGAACCGTCGGTGATGGTGTTGCCGGTGGAGTTCACGACGGACCAGGTCTCACCGCCGTCGATGCTGAGGGCGAGCTGGGGTGAGTCGGTGGCTTTGCCGATGCGGGCAACCTTGTTGGGGCTGTTTCCGGCAAAGTCAACGTCGACACTACTGGCCCACCAAGGGTTCGTCCAGGCGGATTGAGGGGCCTTGTCGACATCGGCGGCGGTCTTGTAGGTGAAGCCGTTGTTGTCAAGAGTCGCGAAGAAGAGCTCAGGGCCTTCAGCCGCACTGGCCAAGGCGCCGACCGCCATCTCCTCAATACCGGATGCAAGACTCTGGATGGTAATGGTCTTGTTCTTGTCCCAGTTGGTCAGGTCGTTGCTACCGTACAGGGTGAGGCCGGTGCCGTAGAAGAACTTGTCGCTGTTGGTGGGATCAATAGAGAGAGACTCGATCATCCAGCCAAGCTTCTTGGTGTCGATGTCGAGGAAGTTGGTCTCGATCCAGGGGGCGTTGGGCGCGCTGATGGTGTACTGCGGCGCGACCTTGCCATCGGCACCGTAGCTCCAGATTCTCTTCCAGGTTGCGCCGGAGTCGGTGGAGCGGAAGAGGATCGCATCGGGGTACCAGCTGTTCAGGGTCGCGACAACGATCGTTCCGGGCTTCTGCATATCGACACCGAGTCCACCGAAGCCATAGTACAGATCGCTGCCAGTGGTAGGGGTGATGTCGGTCCACTTGCTCGAGGTCAGGTCATACTTCCAGACACCGCCCTGGGTGCCGTCGTAAGGGCCGGTTCCGTCGGAGTAGGTGAAGTAAATGACCTTCTCGGCGGGTTGAAGCACAGCCTTGTGAGGGAAGAACTTCTTGGGCTGGCCATCGACAGGGCCCCAGGTGGCACCGGCATCAGTGCTGACGTAGACGGACGCAGTGGTGTTGTCGGCGGTTCCAACAAATATTCTCGAGGTCGCGCCGTTGACAACGTCGGAGGTCTCGTCAAAGGTGACGAAAGTCAGACCTTGAAGGTCACCGTTGTAGGCATCGCTCGCGGCGCCGGGGCGGAAAGTACCAACGGCCTCAAAAGTAGAGACCTTGGAGAAAGTCGCACCTAGTCAATTACACTCTGTCAGAAAAACTGAATCGTGGGGAGATCGTGGATGGAATTCTGCTCACCGGCGTCTGTGCTCTTCCACAAACCGTTGCCGCTGCGGGCACCAAAGAAAATAATTTCCGAGTTCTTGGGGTCGACTGCCAACCGCTCACCCATTCCACGGCCGGGCATGTTGCCGCCGACCTTGAAGGGAAGGGTGGTGGTCTCCCAGGTCTCGCCCTTGTCGGAGCTACGCGCGAATGTTCCATTCTTGGGGTCCCTGCCGACGATTAGTTTTGGTGCGGAATGGTAAAGTTGAGCTGCAGGACAGCGCTTACCAGTCGTTTGTGTACATGCCAGTAGCAATGTAGACCTTGTTCGCATCCTGGGCGTCGACCGCAAGAGCGTCGATACCCCATCGATTCCAGTTGGCGTCATCGGCAAATCCGTTGGCGTCAGTGACGGGGGTCCACGAGTCGTCGGCGTTCAGTCTGTAGAGACCTCCAATGTCGGTGCGAGCGTATGCGACTCCCTTCTCGGTCGGGTGGAAGACGATGGACGGCACAAAGCCGCCACCGGCTCCGGTGTGGACGTTCTTCCACGAGCAAGCGGCGCGGACGGACGCCGCGGCCGCCAAAACAAGACCGGCGCTTCTCATGGTTGGATGTTGTGGGCTAGGTCACTCGAAACTTGGAAGAATGATGAATCGTAGATGGACCAGCCAGGTGAAAAGAATGTTTGATTTTGTTGAAAAAGAGTGAATGCCGCGAAAGCGAGCGTGGTGAGAAAAAGAGAGTAACTGAATCAAAAGATAGACAGACAAGCAAGTCATACGAAAATTGCTCCGTAGGGGACCTTCAACTATTTACATCACCACCAGTCTCCCCCCTCGGCTCGGTCAAGACAGCCATACTTGGTTAGTAAACAAGATGCACGAGCCGAATACTCCGTAGGCGCGAACTTCCTTCTTCGCGATGCACTACCAGGGGCAGAGCTTCTGGAATAGATTGAAGGCATCTCCAGCAAAGTTTAAACCCAAGAAAGTTGTGGGCAGAATGCCGAAACCGAGTGATTAACGCGGCCCGCCCGATTCACCCAGCAATCAGAAGCAGCCGGTTACAGCAAGACGACAAGGTTGTTGGCCCCATCAGCAACCCAATAATCCACCAGTGGCTGCTCAGTTTGGCGAAGAATGAGGTAAAGTGAGGCAATTAGCTTATAACACGTGAGGCCCTGCCATCCCGGAGGTTGAAAAGGGTTGAAAATCTTAGCCAATTGCGCAGTATCTGCGCTGTGCTAGTGTGTCAAGTTGAGCTGGAGCTCCTTGGGACCTTTGATTAAGGGGTCAATGGGACAAACCCAGCTCGTCGGTTTGCAGATGTGAACGAGCTGCATCCCTGTCCCTTCAGAGGCTGAGCTCAACCTAACGACCTTAGGTAAGCGGGTTTTCAATGTTCTTACCACCGGAATAAGAGTCAGTTGCCTTTCCCAGCTCAATGTGGCAGTTTTCTAATTGATTATCGGACACTTATTCAAAACTTGGGCAGACTTTCTACAAGAATCTACTTTACATGTCAACTCAAGGGTGAGGGGCTTTTACGAAGGCAAAGACTTCCGAGTCCACTTGATCTGTCTTCTATCGTAGAACTTACTTTACCTAGCCTAATCGCGAAAGTGGAACATTTTCCCTTTGCAATCATACATGTAGCCTCCAGCAATCTGACTACCAAGACGAAGTACAAATGAAGGTAGAAAGTCAAAAGCTTATAGCTTGATGATTCGGATCATAGATCGGATAAAACTTACAACAGATGAACTCTCGCAATAGTTGCGGCAAATAAATCTAATAGCTCTACGACTCTGCGTGCTCGAGTAGCGAAGGGGACCCACAGGTTGGTTCGCCCCAGCGCACCAAGCCCTCAGGACTCGTACTCTGGAGCGACCTGACCTTGCATCACTGGCTTGAATTGCGGTAAATAGCTTACAGGGAAGACTTCCATCTCTCCTTTACGGACCGAAAATTTCATCAGACCCGAGGCTTCATAGGTAGTCGGACATCTTTTATACTAGTCAGCCGTCCTGGGAGTGGATGGAGGGAGACAAATTTATTCTTGTACGTGCCCATTCCCACCTCTATGCATTCCAACTCCGTGGAAGGGTATATTGTTGTTTAACGTTCCATCGCTAAATGGATCGGCTGATTGGCTATCTTTCACGAGCTTGCTTGGAGTCAGCACTGTGAGCATAGGGCAATGTCAGCGCTGATCTCAACTATTACTTCTTTCGGTATCCGCGAGACAACAGCTTGTTTACGCTTGCCAATATATGCGTCTGGCGTCACAAGGTGGCCATGGCCAGAGCAGCATTGGTGTGTAGACCCAAAGAAATCATATCTCCATGAGTAAGGCAATGTCCAAGATGTCTGTTAGTCCCTCTCCATGTTGCTAGCTCAGACGCTTGGGTTTATCACTGGGAGAATTTTCGCAATTGCCCATTCAGACACCGTCTCGACGTTGAACGAGATCGACGCTAACATGAATATTTGAGATTTTGGTCCACCTACACATCTAGCAACTGAACTTCACAAGGCTCGGCGGATCATGAAACAGGCCGACTTGCTGTCTCTGCTTAGTTGAGTCCAGGTAGGCGGTTTTCGGTCTGCAGCTTGCTGGCTTACTTAAACTAAGAATGGATCGTTGACATCATGGTTCGTCACGAACTGGGCTAAATTCGCAAGACTTTGTCGTCAACAGCCGCCAAAAGCCCAGATCTGGCTCGCAGGTCGTCCTGAAGTCTGTCGTTCGATCTTTCACCTGCGTCTAGGCCGTCAAGGTTCGGACGAGCGACCCTTTGAACCTCGCCCGACTCTCCCTTGAGCAAGCAGTCAAAAGTCAAATTCTGGCTAGCGTCATGTTTACACCCCCGCAAGCTCCCGTTGCCCACGTTTCCGTGCCTGGAGATCATGGGAAAACATGTCCCTGAACCAGACTTCATTGTTCACGAAATACTAAAAAGGGTCCAAGCAGCAAGCCGCTGTCTGACCAGAGGACCTAAGAACGGTGGTCATCGGTGTAAGCCCCAGTTTCTGCGGTGGTGCGGTCTATTCACGCGCTAATGCGAACAAACTTAGCCAGGAACGCAATAGACTATGTCTAGCGTGGGCAAAAAGAGCGTGATCTTCTAGCGCCCGCCTCCAGTCTAGCTGAACATGGACTTTAGCTCTCGTAAACACTCGCGACAGGATCTATTCCGGGCAAAGCTCGCAGCGTCCGGTGGGATGGGGATCGGATGTAGGAAACATGTCATACGGTTATAAGTGTCTTGTCAATCCTATTCACTTCAAGATGTTGTCTATCAACCTCCAAGTCTCACGGGTCGACAGGTCACTCTCTTTTTCATCTAAGCTTTCCTACACTCTCTTTTCAAAATGCGTGTCAATTACGCCGTTTCCACGTTCATTACCATATTGGGCTTGACCCATGCCGCCCCGGCCGACGAGGAGGCACGATTCCACGCCGAGCACAAGCGCCAGCTCGGTACCAGCGCAGGTAGTCTTGGAAAGGATGCGACTTTCGACTATGTCATCGTTGGCGGTGGCACTGCCGGCCTTGTGATGGCCAACAGACTGAGCGCCAACCCTGATGTTACAGTAGCTGTGATTGAGGCTGGCACGTTCTACGAGGTCACCAACCTTCTCATCGGCCAGACACCTGCTGGAGACACTCTTTTCGCTGGCGCTAGTCCTCTCGACACCAACCCTCTCGTGGACTGGAACTTCATCACGCAGCCGCAAAGCGGTGCCAACAACCGCAAGATTCACTACGCTCGCGGCAAGTGTCTCGGTGGAAGGTAAGTTCCCAAGTCCTGAACTTTCATCTTGAGCAAGATTTCTAACGCAACAACAGTTCCGCTCGCAACTTCATGATCTACCAGCGGGGTACCAAGCAGTCCTATCAGAAATGGGCAGATGCCATCGGCGATGATAGTTACACCTGGGACTCCCTTCTTCCTTACTTCAAGAAGAGTGTCAAGTTTACCCCGCCCGGACCTACTCGCTTCACCAACGCCAGCGCAGAGTACAACCTTGACGCCTTCGATGCTGCTGGAGGCCCTCTTGACGTCTCCTACGCCAACTACGCCCAGCCTTTCAGCACGTACCTCGAGCCCTCACTCAACGAGATCGGCATTCCCCAGGCCCAGGACTTCAACAGCGGTGAGCTTATGGGTGCTCAGTACTGCTCCGACACCATCCAGCCTAGCAACCAGCAGCGTGAGTCCAGTCAGACCTCGTTCCTCAACGCAGCCATCGGCCGCAAGAACCTCAAGGTCTACCAGCTCTCTCTGGCCAAGAAAATTCTCTTCGACAGCAACAAGAAGGCGAC